CAGCAAATTCCACGTCCTACTGTTCGCGAAGACAACTCGGCAGTTGTCCAAGCCATAAGGAAGGGTTATTCAATTAAATTACGACACTTGGCGCGAACCCCCAAATTATCCATAGCATCTCTAAATGAAGCGTGTTCTTCTTGGTGCCATTTGGTCCAAACCCCAACAATTGAACAACTTGGAGACTATTTGACAAAGGTCTTAGCTCCCGGTAAGTTCGATGTACAGGTATTGGGTTTGCAATTTCCTGCAAAGAAAACTTAATTCATATCTATCGAAATGATGTTGACATGTTTCTGGGGACATAAGTCTCGACCTTAGACGAAAAGTCTTGACCTTAGAACTGTGTGCGCCTTAATTCGCATCGCCCTTAGATGCTCCTTGGCGGCAGACCCATCATGTCACCAGACGGGCCTAATTAATTAAACTGTACCAAAGTATAGGTGGGTCGTTTCCTGCGTTCGACGCGGACTGACCCGAGGATCGTTGTTCTTTTGCTTCTTGCGCCCGCTGCCAGCGCTACAGCTTGTTTCTACAGCAGCCTTTGCGCTTTGAACTTTCGCAGCTGCAGCTTCTGAGGGAAACTTGAATTCTTCTAGTTGTTTGATGCACATTTTTTTTTGCACATTGTACAGCAAAATGTTCCCCAATTGGTTCATCTAGTTGGCCTCGTATTTAAAGATCCCCATCTGGTGATGCAGATTATTTTCCTGGGAGTCCAGTACCCAAAAATAATTTTGAAATCACCGATTTGATCCAATTTGCACATACTAACCCTGCGTCCCTTCGAACCCAGGAAAACAATTTTGGTTCAAAATATGTCAAAAATATTTCAAGATTATTTTGCAAACGTCCGGCCACAGGAAAGTAATGTTCATGGGGGGGAGTTCACTGGAACATATATGTACGTCAAACCCCAGGAAAAAAATGCCCCATGATTATTTGAGGGGGTATGGTTCTTTACATGACTCTAAAAGGTTGGGAACCAGGATTTAAATCTGTGGAAATGGTGCTATAATGATTATAATGCTGAATGTGCCTAGGTTAGACACCAGGAACAAATTCCAAAGATACATTTGTCCTTGCAAAGGGGTACATTTGTCCTGAACGCGCGCCCAAAATGCAAAACACATGTTTTTTGCTGAAAATAGATTTGTCCTAGCAAAAGGCTGCAGCCACATATGTTCAGCTTCACCAACCAAACAAGGTGACTTGAAGAGGCCGAGGCGCAGGTGTCAAAAATAAATTCCAAGGGGCTGGACCTTTTTTGGCTGAATACATGCGGATGATCTTCAAAGGTTGGCCCCACAGGAAAAAAGTCGCATCACCAGGCCAACCATCCATAGATAGGAAAGGATGGGACAAATTCAAGAATTTTGTGTCAATGTGCGCTCAAAATGCAAAACGCATGTTTTTTTGCTGAAAATAAATTTGTCCTAGCAAAAGGCTGCAACCACATATGTTCAGCTTCACCAAGCAAACAAGGTGACTTGAAGAGGGCGAGGCGCAGGTGGCAAAAATAAATTCCAAAGGGCTGGACCTTTTTTGGCTGAATACATGCTGATGATCTTCAAAGGTTGGCCCAACAGGAAAAAAGTCGCATCACCAGGCCAACCATCCATAGATAGGACATGATGGGACAAATTCAATAATTTTGTGTCAACGCGCGCCCAAAATGCAAAACAAATGTTTTTTGCTGAAAATACATTTGTCCTAGCAAAAGGCTGCAACCACATATATCAGTTTCACCAACCAAACAAGGTGACTTGAAGAGGCCGAGGCGCAGGTGTCAAAAATAAATTCCAAGGGGCTAGACCTTTTTTGGCTGAATACATGCGGATGATCTCCAAAGGTTGGCCCCACAGGAAAAAAGTCGCATCACCAGGCCAACCATCCATAGATAGGACATGATGGGACAAATTCAATAATTTTGTGTCAACGCGCGCCCAAAATGCAAAACAAATGTTTTTTGCTGAAAATACATTTGTCCTAGCAAAAGGCTGCAACCACATATGTTCAGCTCCACCAACCAAAAAAGGTGACCTGAAGAGGCCGAGGCGCAGGTGTCAAAAATAAATTCCAAGGGGCTGGACCTTTTTTGGCTGAATACATGCGGATGATCTTGGAAGGTTGGCCCCACAGGGAAAAAGTCGCACCACCAGGCCAACCATCCATAGATACGAAATGATGTGACAAATTCAAGCATTTTGTGTCAACGCGCGCCCAAAATGCAAAACACATGTTTTTTGTTGAAAATACATTTGTCCTAGAAAAAGGCTGCAACCACATATGTTCAGCTTCACCAACCAAAAAAGGTGACCTGAAGAGGCCGAGGCGCAGGTGTCAAAAATAAATTCCAAGGGGCTGGACCTTTTTTGGCTGAATACATGCTGATGATCTTCAAAGGTTGGCCCAACAGGAAAAAAGTCGCATCACCAGGCCAACCATCCATAGATAGGACATGATGGGACAAATTCAATAATTTTGTGTCAACGCGCGCCCAAAATGCAAAACACATGATTTTTGGCTGAACATACATTTGTCCTAGCAAAAGGCTGCAACCACATATGTTCAGCTTCACCAACCAAAAAAAGTGACTTGAAGAGGCCGAGGCGCAGGTGTCAAAAATAAATTCCAAGGGGCTGGACCTTTTTTGGCTGAATACATGCGGATGATCTCCAAAGGTTGGCCCCACAGGGAAAAAAAGTCGCATCACCAGGCCAACCATCCATAGATTTGAAATGATGTGACAAATTCAATAATTTTGTGTCAACGCGCGCCCAAAATGCAAAACACATGTTTTTTGCTGAAAATACATTTGTCCATCCGAAAGGGTGCAAACACATATGACATATGTTCAGCGTCGCCAACACATAAAATGAGCTGGAAACGTTCGGATCCACGATTTAATATGTTCCAGGCGCGGGTTATTAGCTAAAGTTGTTGTCTGTGCAGCCCAGGAAATTGTTAACACGTGATTTAATTTGGGTGGTTGTGATTGCGGTAAGCCCCAAAGCATCTGATTCTTAATTTTACATACTCCCAAGTAATTGGGAATGTGGTGATTCATGCGATAAACAAGTGAGTTTTGGGTTCGTCTTTCAAATAGCCCCCACTCGAAACTGTCATGGGCTTCGAAACATTCATATGTAAACCCTGGGTCCCAGGAAATAAGTCGGTTAACAGCATATGTTGAGGGGTTGTTTGTTGAGCTTTATATATAGCGACGCAAAAATACTTAGAACATCATTTGGAAAAAAATTCTGAAAACCGTCACAGCGGGGATGTTCTAAGTATTAAGTCGTTAGAACATACCCAAAACTTATACTTAGAACATTTCCAAGCTATACTTAGAACATCCCAGTGGGGAACCAATGGGAACCATACATAATTCATTTTAGCTCATTTTAGTATTGAAACCTATGCTTTTTGACTACCCCCTGTAGGAAACCCATAAATTATATACTAGAGACCTTCCCATTGCAGCGAAGACTGCTTGGGATATTGTTCCCGAAGAAAAGGTATAGAATGCCGCAGCAGTGAGGGGAGAAAGTGTTCTAAGTATGGTGTTCACCAAGGTATTTGTGTGTATATATGCAGATTTACCAAAGTAACAGGACATGTTCTAAGTATATGTGTGTTTAATGTTCTAAGTATGCAAAAAATCAAAGGAGATGTTCTAAGTATCTGTTTTTCTGATGTTCTAAGTGCGTACTTAGAACATTTCTGATGTTCTAAGTGTAGTTGTTTTGATGTTCTAAGAAAAGGCTCCGAAATTTTGGAAAAAATGATGTTCTAAGTATATGTCCGTCACTATAAGGGTTGGCACCCAGGAATTTAATTGATATTAGAGGGGGAGAAATTCCTTTCTGGAAACCTTAAGCATCAGGAAATTATTGCCTGCAAGTTTTATTCGTCTGAGACTATAAATTCCGGCAAGTAAGGTCAAGCACCAGGATTTTAATCTTAAAAAGGTCAGGACCCCAAAAATTAATCACGATATTTTCCCAGGACAGGACTCTCCGGAGTGCACCAGATGGGGATATTTAAAGAGCATACTTGGTCAGGGACCGCCCTTAGCTGGCTTTTGTCCCATCTTTTTCCTGCATGCTGCATACGCGTTATTTTTCCATCGTGGAATCGTGCAGTTAATACCATGATGGGATGTTGTGAATTGCGTTGCTGCTCCGTGCCGATTTAGCCACTTTTCGCAGAAGGCTCTTACGTACTCCTGGCCGGGGGGAGTGCATTAGAGCCGTGATTCGTGACTTCAGGCAACATCGGCACGCGGGGGGTAGTTTAAACCTCAGCATCCTTTCACATCAATTCATACAAGGAACGCTTGGCTGCGGAGGAAGCTAGTGAGACTGCCTTCAATGCTGTCCCAAGGTTACCGAAGGACCCTGCCAAATCAACCAATTGATTTGGCTCAAGCTGTGCAAAAGAAGTTTGCTGATCAAATATATATATATATATGTGTGTGTGTGAATAATCTTATTTGAATAATATATATACAGAGAGAGAGAGAATATGCTCACCATGGTACCACGGTTTCACATGTTCTGATCCATACCCATACCCGTTAAAGATGCAAAGGTGCGAGGACTTTTGCGAAGAGACAACCAGGGTAACCTGGCGAGGGGAGACACTCTTAAATTCTCAACCTGTTCGGGTTGGGCTGACCAGCGATGCTTATCAAAGGCTATAGTGACCGTGTGGACAGCTATTTCATGCTCTTCCAGATGCCAAGATGACGTCTTATAACTTGGTTGCGCAGTGCAGCACCTTATTGCAACAAGAAACTAGACAATGAACGCACATCATTGCACATGTGTAAACTTCCTGGAAAAGTAGAAAATCACACTTTAGTAAACAGCCTGTACCCATTATATAAATATGTAAGACTATATATATATATATACATATGCACCATTATACATCTATAACTTTGTTTTTTCTTGATTTTATATCATCAATATCAATGTGTTTTTTTTGCGCAGGTCGCTTTGTAATCCAGCTCTTCGATATGGCCTCAGGCCGATGGGAGCTGGTCGAGCCTTGATTTAATGGCTATTTAATGGCTGCTTACCATAGGATACCATAGGGTTGAATGGTGATTTACCATAGCTATTTTCATGGTTAAATGGCCGTTTAATGGCCACCAAGAAGTATTTGATGATGAGGTAAACACGAGGGTAGATTGCCGAAGTCTTACATAAGTCTTACCTACTTGTACAATTAAGTCTATTTACCACACTCTATATAAAAGTGGGTTTACCAAGATGGTTCCCATTGATGTGGACCCTAAAAAAATAAAATAGGCAGATCCACCGATCCAAGATTTTCGCCTGCATGCGGGGGTTATTTATGAATAGCGGGAAGGGATTGAACATGGTTGTGGCGACGATGTGAACTTGAACTGAGACTCTGGGTCCCACTGGCTTCCATTTTATATCGCCCAACGCTTGTCTACTGCCAACGTAAGACTTTCGATTTGAACCAGACGCAATGACAATGCCGCCATAGAAGTTTGGCATGTTCTGGTCCCAAGGCCCAAATCACTTGTGTCGTGGCACGGTTATTTCCACCTCTTTGCACTTCAGAAAGTTGTCTGTCTTAATGGTAGTGGTTCCCATAGTCGCATTTCTTCAATGGGTCTTCTTAATACATCCTGATGATGATACAGCATGCTTAGACCACATCAGGCTGGCCCGCTGAGGAAGTGGACGATTTCGTGCCTTGCACGCTGGAGGATGACTGGTCCGAGATTCCTTACACAGAACAGGAGGATGGAACTCGAGTTTACAACTACCAAGACATCTATACCGCTCAAGGCAGGGGATGAGCATTGCGGCGATGCTGCGTGAATCTATGTCAGCTACTAGGATGACTCTGGGGACTTATGGACTTATAAGTCGGTTAGAGTGGACTTAAGTATAAGTATTTTTGATGGACTTATAACTTACTTAAAAGTTCAGTCATAAGTAGCTAAGTTCTTCTAAGTGTTTTCAGGTGTGTTTTGCTTTATTTTTGTTTACAGCTTGTTTTGTTGGATTCTATCTTGTTTTCACACTGGTGCCGGAGCCTCTTTTCACCACAAGAGGCACACGGATCCATCATCGTTGCTTCCAAAGTAATGTGGTGAAACACTTTGGTCTAGACGCTTTGCATCTGTTATCTCATGAGCGCCAGGGACGTACTTCCAAATTGCAAGAGCTGCATCACTTTGGTTCTTTTTGCTTGTGTCACCCGTTGCAGACGCACTTGCACCGTTTCACCTTGGCCGCGAAAGAATTGGATGCATGAAGTTGTGCCATCCAAGAGCCGGACAAATTGGCGTCGGCTATATGTGACACACTTGTATTCCATCTCAGTCGCTTCTGTTGCAAGGTTGGATGGTTCTGGGTCAGACACACCTACACGTCCTCTTAGGACTCGAAGCCCGATTTTTTCCATGGGTATGGCATTGTTTAAGTCTTGCGTGACCAGCGGAAACAAGCAGGTTTTGACAGAGTCCCGCGGACAAGGGATTCCATAGGTTTCTCCGCGGGCAAGCGGCAAATGCTCGGATTCCCAATGTTTTTTTTTGAAGTTCTATATTGGTTTAGCTTGCGGGCAACGCGGACATCTTGTCTCCCTCACAGAGCCGCGGACAAACGCGGACATTCGCGGACAGTTTGCGGACAAGGACTTTTTCTCCCCGCAGGCATCCAAAGTGTTCCATGCTATGGCCTTCACTGCCGCAAGGCCCAACAGTCTTCCAACAGCAGCGACACCTGCTTCTCAGCCTCCTGGGCCCAGCCTCCGTATCTTCATTTCCAGTGCGGGCCACAATGTCTTGCTTCACCTGATCTGCATAGTCACCCCACAGCGCATGATCGAGAAGAGAAAGGAGACGACCCGACACTTCCGTGGATAAGCTATCCACTTTGGCAAGGCAGCGGCACAACTCACCATGTTGCTTAATCTGAATTTCTCTAAAGTTGGGAAGGGTTTTCACCCCATCCAAGAAAGTTTGCGAGGCCTTCCGATGTCGCTCCAACTGCATAGCCATGATGGGCCCGGAACCTTCACAAACAAAACTCGAGCCTTCTCCCTTAAAACGGCCACAGACGCAAATAAAGTCTTGCTGCCCCAACCTTGTTTTCTTCAAATCCACAAGAAAAATTGCTCAAACTAGTTAGCCATACAAAAAACATGAAAAATCACCATGACAGCTAACTAAGCTAAGTCCAACCTAAGTAAATCCTAAGTTCATGACTCCTAACATGCAACATACTTAGTAACTAGCTAAGTTCAACCTAAGTCCCTAAAAAAACAATCAACTTAGAACCTACTTAGCCAGTTAACCAACTTATAAGCCAACTTATAAGTTATGTTACGTTACTTATAACTTAGTTATAACTCCTTAAGTCCCGGGGGGCATCCTAGTAAACTTGAGCTGGGAATCGGGAAGAATGAGTTCTCATTTCTATATTGTTTCTACCGTTTCTACATATGCTTACCATATTTTACCAAACCTTTGTATGATATATTATAGTTCTACATCAGATACGGCAATCTGATAAGCTTCCAGCTGTGCAGCTGCGAAAACGGCCAGGCACAAAACGGCTCCGGAAGAAGTGGCTGCCATTGTTTGGAAGGCCAAATGGGCGGCAAGTCTCTTGGATCTCATCGTGATTTACCTGGAAAGTTTACTGTTTTCTATTGAAAAGGACCATATAAAGAGTTGATTTACCTATCAAACATGGTGATGTTCCATAGCCATGTTAGTCTACCAGAGGGTAATGATGAGAACAACATGGAATCAACATGAATCAAATACTGCAGCATTTTGAAGTGGGGGAGAATAATTCCACCAAATTTCTAATGAACATATATGAGACCGGCAACATTATTATTCCATCAGATTTGTTTCTGATATTTCCATTACATCCCATCCATTGAACATACCAAATATGTAGTGGAATATCAGCACCACTTGTAATATATATATAAATAAATAAATATATATATATATACTAAAGATGTCATGGAATATACCAATACTGGCATCAATCCAAGATGTTTGGACAACATACCATCAATTCCGTTTGGAGGTCACCAACTCTTGCACGGAATTTGTGGATCGGTGCTTTCCCAGTTTTGATTGGTGATTTATCCCAATGTTGATTCGGTGAAATCAGCCATATCCCAAAAATATCCAAAAATGGTTCAGAAGTCAATAAGCTGGTTGGTGGTTTGGAACAGTTTTTATTTTTCCATATATTGGGAATAATAATCCTAACTGACTGATGTTCTTCAGAGGGGTTGAAACCACCAACCAGATAGTATTTGGATGATTTTTCTTGTGACCTCACTGTGTTCTGTCATTGGAATGATGTTTTATTTGTAGGGGGATCAGCCCAATCATCCCCAAATGGTTTTGATGATTTATGCTATCTTCAGGTTTGTCACTAATTATATTTCAGCCAGATCCTATTTTATAACCCAGGGAATGTTCTCCTATGTTGTCCATCTAAAACGGATATATATATATACATATTCACATAGGTAGATAGATAGATAGATAGGATAGATAAGATAGATAAGATAGATAAGATAGATAAGATAGATAAGATAGATAAGATAGATACGATAGATAAGATAGATAAGATAGATAAGATAGATAAGATAGATAAGATAGATAAGATAGATACGATAGATAAGATAGATAAGATAGATACGATAGATAAGATAGATAAGATAGATAAGATAGATAAGATAGATAAGATAGATAAGATAGATAAGATACATAAGATAGATACGATAGATACGATAGATACGATAGATAAGATAGATAAGATAGATAAGATAGATAAGATAGATAAGATAGATACGATAGATAAGATAGATAAGATAGATAAGATAGATACGATAGATAAGATAGATAAGATAGATAAGATAGATAAGATAGATAAGATAGATAAGGTAGATAAGATAGATACGATAGATACGATAGATAAGATAGATAAGATAGATAAGATAGATAAGATAGATACGATAGATAAGATAGATAAGATAGATAAGATACATAAGATAGATAAGATAGATAAGATAGATAAATAGATAGATAGATAGGTGGATAGATAGATAGATAGATAGATAGTTAGATTAGATTAGATTAGATTAGGCTAGATTAGATATAGATAGATAGATTAGATAGATAGATAGATAGATTAGATTAGATTAGATTAGATTATATAGATAAGAACAGATAAGATAAGATAAGATAGATAGATAGATTAGATAAAATAAGATAAGATAATATAGATAGATGAATAGAGAGATAGATAGATAGATAGATTAGATAAGATAGATGGATAGATAGATAGATAGATAGGATTGGGATTAGGATTCGGATTAGGATTAGGATAGGATAGGATAGGATCCATCGATAGATAGATAGATAGATAGAAAGGATTAGATTGGATTAGATTAGATTAGATTAGGTTATATAGATTAGATTAGATTAGATTACATTAGATAGATAGATAGACAGACATAAAGCTATAGAAGCTATTCATCCAAGAATCTCCAGCTGTTAGGATTTGCCCATGAGGTCTGGGCCCTTGTTCTAGAGAAGGCCATGGCCAAGTTCGTCGGATCTTACGCCCATTTGTCCGGAGGTGGCAAGCCCGGGCTGGCAAGCCGCAAGCCGGAAGCAGCATGGAACTTCAATGAACTTTCGGAGATGTTCATAAAATCAACACATTGGATTGGTTTATGGGAAATTTTACAGGAAACCCCATATTTAATGGAAACAAAGCTTGGTTTCCTGTTGTTTTTCCCTTAAACCAATCCAATGAGAAACACATGGAAACTAACAATTGAAGGGGTCCCTTTTGAAATGATGTTCACTATGTTCATCATGTTTTCACATGGTATCAATATATGTTCACTATTTATGGGGCCCTCTTTGAATAAGTTTCACATCAATTTCACCATTTGAACATGCGTT